GACCTCGCTGGCTTACCATGGCCCGGCCCAGCCCAACCCACCATGGCCGGACCCCCTGCTCCCCCTTCACCTTCCCCAGCTCCACCGGGCAGCACATCGGGCCGGTTTCATTGGGGGATATTCGCCACCAGCTCCTCAGAAGAAAGGCGAGCGCTTACCCAACAGCACTGCGCCGGGAAGCTGATACTCCCCGAGAACATTGCCTCATACCATCCGTGCGTGCCTGGGATGGGGAGAAATGCTGGGGAGCTGCAAACGACATCCAAAAATGAATGTACTGTCTGCAGCAGCGCCGGGGCAGCAGCCCGGGGGAAGCGACCGCCATGTGTCATGGAAGGAACTGCAAAGGAAGGGGTCTTGTGAGGATAGCGGGAGCAGGCTGTGCCGTCCCCGCGGCTCCGCGGGCTTCGCACAGCCTCTGAAGCGCTCCGGGACAAGCTCGGGATGGGGACTGGCTCTTCCTCCTCGTCTCATGCCTCCTCCTCGCCCCCACAGAGGGAAGGTGCTGCCAGCCCCAGGATGCTTCGGTGGGGTCCCGGCCCCAAGGGCGGCATCCGCTTGCCCCCACCTTTGATGATCTCCGCAGCCGACGCGGCCTCGGGCATCTCCCGCCGTACCCCGAGCGGGGAACAGGATTGCATCCCAGTTTTGCTGCCTGGCCCCGGGGGCGGTGAGTGGAGGCAGAGCCCGAGCGGGCAGCGCAGACAGGCAGCTCGTAGGCAGGGCGCTACCCGTCTGGGCACTGGGGCGACCCGGCAGCCAGCTGGTCCCCGCTTTGATGTGGAGTTCCCTCAGGCTCCGCACAATGCAACCCGGCTCAGCCTGGCAGACTGGGGTGGGAGTGAAGCAAGGGTGATTGATTGTCTTGTTTTGTTCCTCCAAGGCTGTCCTAGGCCGTTCGGATTCACGGCCGAGGTCCCCCGAGAGCAGCGGGGGGCACGGCAGCGTTCACCCGGGCTGCAGGGATGGGGATGGTGGGGTGCAGGCTCCGGCCGGGGGCGGCGGGTCAGGGCACCGAGGTTGCTGCTGCCCCACGGGCCACTGGCTCAGGTGGTTCGAGCGCTCTGTGCCTCAGTTTCCCCATTGGCACCGACCCTTAGGGAGGTGGTGGTATCTCTGGAGGACACACGTCCCATGAAGCCAGCCCCTGTTACTCTCAGGCGTGTTGGGTATCCCCTGAATTAAAGCAGGCAAAGGGAGTGCAGGAGCCCCACTGAGGGTAAGGCTCGTTAGGACTCGAGCGTGTTGACCTCCGAAAAATTGAGTTTAGCTCCATCCAGTTGATGAGTCACGACTGTGTTTGTGCGACGCGCTCCCTGCAAGCAAGGTTTCCACTGCAGAGCTAACAGGCTTTTCTGGGAAGCACTGGGGTTCTGGGCTTCCTCATTATTTTCAAACCCTATTGGCAGCCTCCCTCCGACAGGGATTATGCCTGCTCGAAGCACAGCACTCAAGCATGTTCAGAGTCCTGAAAGCGCTAATTGACTTTATGTTTGGCCTCGCTCCTGAGAGCCTGCTCTCTTGCAGCCCCAGTCCCTCCTCCTGCTACTGCGGCGAGCCTGCCTGCATGTGGTTTGAATTTCTTCTCCGGAGAAAAACCCCCTTTCTCCTGCCTCGGTGTCATCTTTCCCTGGAATTGAATTTGGGGGAAATGAAGAGGAGGCCAAATTTTCATGGAGTGACTACCTCCCCTCTCAAGGCAGTGACGGGAGCCCCATGAAAGTGAGGGGTGAAGCCTGTTCCAGGAGCCACTGATGCCCTGTCCCACCCAACGTCCCTCTGCACGGCGATTTCGGTCACCTTCAGATGGCTCCTTACGTGCCAGTAAGCCCCGGGTGGCTGAGCGGAGCGTGGAGGAGGCTGCCCCAGCGCTGATAGCTCTCCCTGCTCTGCAGCAGGGATCCCGTCCTTCCCTCCAGCTGTGTGCTGGGAAAGCACTGCCTGCACAGAGCAGCACTGCCAGCACAGAGCAGCGCGGGCAGCCCAGTAGGAAACATGGTGGTGCCATCCTCCGGCACCCGACCCTGCTCGCCCAGGCCAAGTGATGCGCGTGGGCTTCTCCCATCGATGGGAAAGGAGCAGCAGTGAGCTGACCCCAAGGAAGGGACGATGGTCTCAAACAGCAGCAGCCTGCGACACCTAAACATCAGCCAGGGATTATCCATGGCCCCTCTCTGCCTTCTCCTGCAGGGCCCTGGGTCATACCTGGTGCACGTGGCACGGCACGGCACGGGAGTGAGCCAGTTGCCGCGACTGTGCCGGCTGCCATTCCCAGCATGGAAGACTCGCGGGCTGCCAGCGGGGCGGGCGATTGGGAAATCTGTTTCCTCTTCTGCTTGTTATGACACCGCAGTGGGCGCATCCACCGGGAGCAGTGAGGCAGCGGGAAAGTATGAAGGTCAGGGGAGGCTGTGGTTTGTGTGACGGAGGTGACCCCAGCTGAATGCATCCCTCTACCTGTTCCGAGCATCGCTGCCCTGCCGGGACGGCTCCAGCCACCGCCTCCCCTGGGATATCGCCCCTGGCCCCGTTCCTGCGCGGAGCAGCTCTCCACGAGATGCGAGGCCCCACGGATCCTGTTCCTGGGTAAAAGAGGGAGAAAAACGGCCAGGTGCAGCTTCCCCTGCATTTCCATGGGCAGGAGGGTTGGTGCAAACGCTGGGCAGGAATTCTCACGAACACGTGCAAGGCATCCGGGGCGCTGGCTGCTCCGGGGGCTTCGCTCGACTCTTGCAGCATCGCTCCCACTCCCGGCTTTGCTCTGGCAGCCCACAAAGAGGACGCGGCTGCTCCGACGATGGCACCGGCGTGCCCAGCAGCCAACGTGACGCACTTGCCTTGCAGCACTAATGAGCCGGCTCTGCAATCCTTGTCACCTCGTTAATGACTTGGCCGCTGCATCCCAGTCAGGGCTGTGCTGTCCGCTACCTCCCACATAGCTTGCAGGCCCCTAACTCGCATTAGGGGAGCTGCTTTCATGTGGCCAGTGGTTTTCATCATCAACGAGCCACAGAGCGAGTGAGACGCTGGAGCAGAGGAAGGAGCCGACGGGGAGCCAGGCGACGCGGGCCGGCGCGGCGTGGCACCGCGGGCGCTGGAAAGGCAGCTTTGATGTAGCGACAGCCAGCCCCGGGGGCCGCGGGCTCAGGTACGGCGGGGGCCCGGCTCCCAGGAGGGTCCCGTGGCGAGGGGCGGCGTGGAGGCATCCCACTTTACTCCACGCCGTGTTCGTGGAGGGGCTGCTTGGGCCAGGGGGAACTCGGCACCAAAAGTCGCTCCTTGTGTGTGGTCCGCGGCAGCTGGCACGACATGGGGAAGGGAAAAGAAATTAAGGATGGACACGTTGGTGAGGCCGCAGGAGGACAGGCCGATGGTTGGATGGGAGTGTGTGGTGATGGGTGAGAGGGTGGACAGCAGATGGTGGGTGAACAGAGATGGCAGCGAGCTGGGTGGAAAAATGAAAGCTCAGTAAGCACTCAGCATAGCTTCTGTGTGATTCCTGCTGCCTCTCGCCCCACCGAGGCACCGCCGGCTCCCATGGACGCCGATCCCAAACACCCACATGCTCCAGTACCTGCACCGGGTCCGCAGCCAGGCGGGGGAAGCCCGTTAGCGGCGCTGGGATACAGGATTTAGGATCACGTTTCTGGAGGGAGACCCACGATTTCAAATTCTGCCTCAGGAGGGGGCATTCAAATGAAGCTACCGGTATCCGCCTCGCCCACCCAGGGACGGGCTGTGCCGGGAAAGTGAAATGTGGATGCCGTCAAAGCCTGCAACCGCGGCTGCTGCCCGCCGGGAGCGAGCCGTGGGGCGGAAACGCTGCCTGCTGCTGTGAATCACAAGCTCAGCGCTGGAAAAGCTCCGGCTGAGGCATTTCCTGCTGTTCTCATTGTATCCCCATCCGATGCCTCCCTCGTGAAGCTCCCGCGCTGAAATCCCGGCCCCGTGGAAAAAACAGCGGTAGCTTTCCTGCCGAGTCCGGCACAGCTCTCTTGGCTTTCAAGCTCCGGCCATATTCCACGGAGCCGGGATTGACGGGGGGAATAGCGGGAGTTGCGGCAGCTCCCCGGCCAGCGCGGCGATGATTCGTGCGAACGGGCAGTGCCGAGCCGCGGGGGCTGCTGGGCAGGCAGGCCTGCCGGTCTGCGGTTGATTGTTCAGCCTCAGTGACTTCTTGAAGGGGAAATGGAAAGAGCGAACAGTGCGAGTTAATTAATTGACGCATAACGAAGTCAAGATGAGCGTGCCTGAGGAGCTGGAGCTCGGATTGGGAAAGCGGCAGACGGTGTTCTCTGGCGTGGGGCTGCTTCATCCCCAGCCCCAGCCTCCTGCCAGCCACACCGAGGACACCAGCTCCCGCGCAGGGGCAGGGAAAAAAAAGCCCCTGCGTACCTTTGAGTGGCAACTTTAATAGAATTTAGGTGTTACAAACACTGTGGCCCAGAGAAAGGAGCTGGGGAAGGAATGAAATAGACCCATCCGATGGCTGTTTGGTGCTTTGCTCACGGTGGAAAGGCTCGCTCCAGCAGCGCACACAGACCCTGCCACAGGGTCCGATGCTTTTCTAAGTGCCGAGGAAGAGCCAGGGAAAGGGACAGGGAGAGGGACAGGGACAGGGAGAGGGACAGGGAGGGAGGGTCGGACAGACCCTAACCCACAGGCTGCCAGCCCCACGCAGGGGGTGGCAGCGGGCAGGGACACCCGCACACACACCTCGGCGAGACCCTTCTCTCCCGCTGTGGGAAGAAACATTAAATTTCTCCCGGGGATGAGAGGAAAATCCCTCCCCGGCTCGTCCCCCCCCAGGCCCCCGCGCCGACCGGAGCCCCCGGCCCGTTCCTCGCTGTCGGCAGGCCCGGGCCTTGCGCAGCGGACGGGGGCCCTCTAGTGAAGGGCGGCCCGGCTCCGCCCCGGCCTTAGCCCGGTACGGCTCTCCGCTCCCCGGGCACGGCGTTTGGGCCCTTGCCCGGCCGGCTCCCCCCCCCCCCCGCCCCGCCGCTGGACCCGGCCCGGCCGAGCCTGCTCGTTACGGTGCGGCCATGGCGGGGCTAGAGCCGCTGTACGCCTGGGCGCTGGCCGCCATCTCCCGCCCGCAGGACGCGCTGATCTGCGGCGTTCACTGGGAGCTGGTCCGGCACGGTTACCGCTGCCTCGGCGCCGGCGACCAGGTACGATCCGGGCCGGGCCGGGCTCCTCCGCCGCGGTAGGCCGCGGCCGAGCCCCGGCCTTTCCTAGCGCCGCTCGCCCGAGCTCGGCGCCCGCTGCCGGCGGAGGCGCGGGGTAGGGGGGGAAGCCGTGCGGCGCCGGGGATGTCGGGGGAAACCGGGCCGGTGCGGAGTCTGAAGGGCCTCAGTGCTGCTTGGGGGGGTCCCAGTGCTGCGGGAGTCAGCGCGGCGTTGGGGGGTGCGGGTGGTCCCGGTGCTGGTGGGGTCGGTGTGGTGCTGGTGGGGTCGGTGTGGTGGTGGGGGGGAACGCTATACCCAAAGCGGGGTGTCCAGTACAGCGTTGGGGGGAAATGCAGTGCCGGGGAGGGGTCCCAGTGCTGAGGGGGGGGGCCCTGGCGCAATAGCAGGGAGGGGGCCGGTTTGGTGCTGGAGCCAGTGCTGTGGCAGGGGTCTAGTGGGTTGGGAGCCCGGTGCGGTGCTGGGGGGGCAGGGGTGGGGGTGCAGGGCACTGTTTTAGCGGAGAAACCCCGCAGTACTAGAGGAGGGGACAGTGTGGGGCAGTGACCCCCGGCAGTACCGTTGTGGGGCTGGACAAACAGGACGACAGCCTTCTCCCCCCCCCCCCCCCCCAGACAGCTCTGTCCTGTGCTGGGGAGCTGAGAGGTGCCAGGCAGGGAAGAGCATCATCCCCCAGTCTGGGTCTTTGTTATCTCCTCCTGTTCAGCAAAGGGTGGTTGTATCCCTCCTGTTCCAGTGCAGGGACCCTGTGGGAGGCTGGCAAGCAGGCAGGGCCAGCCTGTAGGGAAATAAACCCCTGCTCCTGCAGTCAAAACCTGGAAGGCACTGAGAGATCCCCTCCCAGAGACCTAGATCCCCTCCTGGATCTCTCTGTGCAGCCAAGATAGGTCCCACCAGCCCTGCAGTGTGCTGGGCTCATGGGCAGGGTCTCAGCAGCACGTCTGTTCTGTTGCAGCCAGGTCCTGATGAAAGGAAGTCTGAGCTGCTGCCCGCCGGCTGGGAAGCCAACAAGGAGGTGTATACGCTGCGCTACAAGTCCACAGACGATGCCCGTGAACTGCTGCTGAAGGCCATCATGGTGGAAGACAGTATGATCCTCAACGTCATGGTGAGCACCCACGCTGGCCCCTGCGGGTTTGGGGTCCTTTGGGAGCAGCGGCTGCAAAGAACAGCAGAGCCCATTTCTTAAATATTTTCTGTTACTTGTTCTACCTTGCGGCAGCATTTGTCCCTCAGGATGGGGCAGACCCAGGGGGTGTTAGGGGCTGCCTGTGCAGCAGAAAACGTGGCCCAGCGTGAAGCTGGTCAAACTCTGGCTGCATTGGGGCAGTGATGCAGTTTGCCTTGTGCACTCTGGCCCAGGAGTTGCCCCATTTCTGTCCCTTTCCAAGCTCAGGACTTTTCTGCAGATCTTCTCCTGTACCCAGCAAGCACCTGCCTGGCTTGTTTTTGCTCAGTCTTTCACCCTTTGCAGCCCAGATTGGGGTAGGGAGCAGGGAGAGCCTTGCTGTACACCACAGTTTGCTCCTGGGGATTTGGGCACAGCACAGGGATGTGGCAGGAAGCAGGGGAGCCCATTCCTTGTGTCCCAAGCCTCTACCTGCTCCTTCCCTCATTCCCAGCTCTGCCGGGCTGCTGACTCTATGCTTTACCTGTCTTTTGCCAGGATCGCAGTTCTCAGAAGGTCGCAGATGTGACCTTGGCAGTGGCCGACTACATCAACCCAGAGCACCTGGACGATTTCCACAAGTAATCTCAGTTCCCTGGTATTTTCTGCAGGAGAAAATGTCCCAGCAGCATAGGCAGGGGGCAGAGACCAGGTTAGGAGGAGCCTGGAGGACTTTCCTCCCCGGTGCAAACCCCAAGGGAAGGCCAGCCAGCCCTGAAATGCAGCCAGAGCTCCCTGCCCTGCCTCCCTCTGCACTACTGGCAGGCAAGAGAGATTTAGGGAAGAGTGGGACCGTGGGTCAGAGCCCAGGGGAGAGTCGTGCCACCTGGGAATGGGCCAGACCAGCCCAGCACTTTTATTTCCAGAGCACTGCCTGCCTGTGTGTGCTGGGTGGACACTGCCCAGGGGTGCTACGGTTTCAGCCATGTCCCAGGCACCCTGTGGCCTCGCTAAAGACGAGTGCTATGTGCTGTGGTTTCCTCCAGGGCAAACTGGTTGGGTTGTGGCCACAGCACAAGGGAGTCCCTTGGGCTGGGTGGCACCTCTGCCATCTTAAATGGGGTGAGGGCTTTGGTGCCACTGTGTGCTGTTACCCTTTCCCGTCCCCTCTGTGCTGCCAGATGGGGACATGTTTTGTGCCAGGGACACTTTGGGCTTGTCCATCTCCTCACCACCCCTCTCACAGCCTGTCCAGCACCTCACGCCCAGGTGCAGTGGCCTCCCCAGCCCACCGCCTTGTCTCTCCTCCCTGCAGGGTGTACAAGAACACCGAGGAGCTGAGGACAAGGATTGCTTCAGGCATCATCGCTCCCCTTGGGCCCCCCACAGAAAAGGCCAAAAAGGAGCCGGAGGCTGAGAAGAAGGATCCTGACTTGCACCGGGATTACGACCCCCTCAGGGTCCCTCCCCGGCAGCCAGCAGGCACAAGAGCACCATCTTGGTGAGTAAAGAGCGGGTGGCTGCTGATGGTCCTCTGCTAGACGGGACGTGGTCTTGGCACAGCTTTCCAAACTACACCTCTGGTCCTCATCTTGCACGCGTGGGATGGGGAGCGAAGAGGATCCAAACCCTCCCCAGCCAGTTTCAGCCTCGTTGGCTGAATGCTTGGGTTTGATTTAGGTTGCCCGCTGAGGGATGGCCTGTTCTGGAGCTATGTGTTGGTTTGACCCTCCTTTGGCATTGCCTGGAGGTGTAGCTGGAGACCTACAGACCCAGGAGGGAGAGGGCACCGTACAGGGCTGGGGGGAAGGTGTGAGGTTGGAAGGAGGGAGGCCCTGCTCTGTGCTGGCTGAGGGACTGTCAGGACTCCGGAGCTGGCAGAGCAGGGACAGCAGTGGGAAGGATGGTGCCGTCATGGGGCCAAGCAGCCTCTGGGAGGGACATCAGAGCACTGGGTGTCAGTTCATAATGTGGGCTCTAGCAGAGCTGTGGGGTCTCTGCTCATGGCAGAGAGGAGAAGGCATGTGGTGGGTGCAGAGCTCTGCCTTTGCTTGGCACAGAACCGGGGCTACCTCTAAGCCTCCTGCCTGCTGTGGCAGGTAGAGCTGCCCTCCCACGACGGTGCACCCAGCCAGGGCTTGGGGCAAGGCCCAGGACGTGTTGCGGGGAACAGAGACCTCTCCTCCATGTTCTCCTGACCCTGCTTTCCCTTTGAAACTCTTTGCTGGCAAAGCTGGGGAAAGGGGACACATGGCACTCACTTCACCATCCCTCCCTGGCCCCTTCATGCCCAGCCATCCCTCCTACATGGCAAGCAGGCAGGCTCCCCCCTCTCTTCCCCCCCAACAAGCTGTAATCCCCTTTGGAAGTCAGAGACACTGCAGTGGCTCTGCCATCTCTTGGGGACTGGCTGTGGCTTCTGCCTTGCATGTCACCTCTTGGTTCTTTAACCCCACTGCTGTCTGCTGGTGCTCAGGGCTGCTCAGGGTGTGCGATGCTCCTCAGGGAGGCCTGGGCAGACAGGCTGGAGCTGGGCACGGCTCTGAAACCATGTTATTAGCACATAGTATTGGCAAGGAGATGTGACAGCTGGCTGCAGGCTCACCGCCCCACTGTCCTCGCACTCCTGGAAGTAGGACTGTCATTGTGTCTCCAGCCGGGACATGCTGGAGAGCCTGGCCTAGCCCAGCACTGCTCAGGGAGCCCCTGGCATGGAAACTCCCAGCGTCCACAGACAGCTCCAGCCCGGAGCAGTGGGAACAGCAGGGCCCCCTTCATCTCAGCAAGCTTCCCGCAAGCCTGCCACGCACACCGGTGCCCACACCCAGCTGCACCCTGGAGCAGGGAATGCTGCGTCCTGGGTATGGGGTGGCTCCCAACGCCAGCCCACTCACGCAGGGTCTTGCAGGTCCCAGGGCCCTTTGGGTGCTGCAGTGCTTGCCATGGGAGAGCACCCATGAGCACAGCACCAGCAGCCACACTGGCTGCACTGCCCTGCCTGCATGCTCGCTCCTGCTTGCTCCACGCGGCCAGTCTCCCCTTCACTGAATGTCTCGCTGTGTTCTGTGTTTCAGGCCTTCCCCCTTGAGCCCCTTCGCTGTTGGTGGGGAGGACCTGGACCCTCTTGGGTGAGTACGGCTGGGAGAGGTAATGCTTTGTGTGCCCGAGGAGCATCCCCTGCTCTGCCCTTGGGGTGTGTGGGGGTGCTGGAGACCTTCTCTGGAACAGCTGGAGTCCGCCTGGCTCAGGTGTCCGGTGAAGTGTGTCTAAGTGCAGACGGTGAAGGGACAGTCACTCAGTGCAAATTGCAAGGGACCAATTGACAGTTGCTAAACCTCAATATGGTTCTAATATCGTAATAAGATCCCGTCTCTTGCATAGATGATAGGTTGCAATCTGTGTCTGTTTAATAATCAGCTTGTATTCATTTAACATGCAGTAATTCCTTCAGTAAATCAAAGCTGAATACGTCGTTAAGTAAATGTAAGCCTCTAATTTAAAATGTTACCAGCTGCTGTGTCTACAGCCCAGCAGTCTGGAGAAGGGGAGGCTTAAAGCCGAGTCCACAAAATTCTCGAGTCCTGGTTGTGAGCCTCCCGGCTGTCTGAAGCACTCGAGAGAAAGGCTGGGTAAAAGCAGGGCTGTCTGGGGCACTGATCTTCACAGATACGTCTCTTGGTCTTTGGCTTGGTCAGGCAAGGAGAACCTGTGAACTTCCATTCCAATTAAAAGCACGTAGTCAGACAAGAACCAGCTCTTGGAGTCATTACAGAGCGTCCTGTGGCCCAGGGGAGTCCTCTTTGGAACCACTCTCCTGTGGGGATTGCATTTTTTCCCCTCTTGCAAGACTTGGTTCTCCGTGGGTTTGGCTAGAAAAGGGCCAGCTAAAAATGTCTTGCCCGGCTGGAAGGAGAGGCCTGGAGCCTGGGTGGCTGGAAGGAAACCTGATAGCACAAGGAGAAGGGGTTCAGTTGTGGGGGGACCCTGTTTCTCTCACTGCCTCCAGCCCTTCATCAGAAGTTTCTCTGTAAATGACAAAAAAGATTGTAAATGGAAGCAGATTCGTGTGCTGACACCTGCCAGCGCTGGGGCGGGAGACCCAGACTCCCAGGCATATGCTCGTGGGGCCTGGCTGTCCCGGGGCACTTTGGGCAGCCGGCCTGGCGTAATGGAACTCATTAGCGCGGTTGTTAATGACTTGTATGATGGCAGCGGTGTCCAGAGGCTCCAGCCGAGTTTGCACAAAGCCGACCATGAGGAATGGCACTCACAGCGTGGGGCAGCTCCGAGGAGCCACCGTGGTCAGCAAATGACTTCCAGGCAGCTTTTTGGAAAGGCTGGCGGGAGCCCCGGCTGGGTCCGCGAGCTCTTGCGACACTGCACAGGGCAGGACATGCTGCTCACCCAGGAGAGCAGAGAGCAGGGACGGGAGGATGAGCCGGCAGCAAGGGCCAGCGGGTCTGATGCTTCCTTGGCGGGACTTACCAGCCATTACTGATGCCCTGAATGGCTCCTTGTGGGAACTGGGGGAAGAGGGAAGCTGCCTTTCCGCTGCTCTGAGTGTCTGGTTTGGCTTTGGCTCTGAGGAAGGCAGGCAGGCGAGGGCTATTGCTTCCCTGTGCCTGTCTCCAGCTAGGCTTTGGGGTATGCTGGCACCATAGTTCCCCGGACCTGCGTGTTTGCTGGCTTGGGCACAGTCTCTGCAGCTGTAAGACTCCCACCTTAGGATGATGATGAGCCATGATTTGCATCTTGCCCCTGACCTTGTGTTGTGGCATAATGCAGGCAGGTCTGCAGGGCAGGGATAACCCCGGGCAGGAGCAGAGTGTGATTCATTTGGGTTCCCTCCTGTCACAGACAGCAGCCGCCATGGGACAAGGATCAGTTGTGCCCAAGCACTCTTACACATGCACATGTACACACATGAAGGGCTCTCTATCTTTCTGCCATGGGCTCGCCTCACTGGCTTGTCCTGGCCTGTGTTGTGGTGGGTTAGGAGTGCTTTCCTTCCCACGTGCCATGTGTAAGCTTAACCCCGCATTCCTGTGCTCGGTGTTCCTGCAGCAGAGGTTTGGCACAAAGACATGCTTTGCTCCTCTCACCAGTGCCCATCTCATCTCCTTCTCTGCCTTTCCTCTCCCCAGAGGTCGGAGTGGCGGAATGATCGTGGATCCTCTCCGGTCTGGCTTCCCGCAGCCTGGCACTGACCCATCGTCGGGCATCCCAGGCCGGCTTCCCCCGGGAGCAGTTCCACCAGGCGCCAGATTTGACCCCTTTGGCCCATTAGGGGCTGGTAGATCCAGGTAGGTATTTGGCTGTGCCTTGTATCCCCAGCTTGCTCTCCCGGCTCATCCATGTTGCTGCGAGACTGAGCTCTCACTTCTGGTTTGACTCTGCTCTGAATTTCTTTCCAGGCCAGATCCCGACCACCTTCCCCCTCCAGGCTATGACGACATGTTCATGTGAGGAGTCACCCCATGGCTGCGGCCAGAGCAGTCTCCTGGGAGGCCGGGGTACTTTCCCCACTTCATTCCCCGTTTGGTGGACTTCAGTCTTTTCAGCAGCGTTTTTCTTCTCCCCACTCGGGGCCACCTTCCTGTGTCAGACCAGCTATAAAGGTTTCCCTGTGTGCAGAACACAAGAGGAGGCAGTAGCTCTGTTTCTTTCCGTGCTCCTCTGAGGGTGCTTGGCCATTTGCACCCAGCTGAAGTGGTCCTGCCCTGTGTGAGGCGGCAGCGTGGGGTGTAGCACGGTGCTCTGAGAATGGCCCAGATGCCATGGGGTTTCCTCCTCTGCTTCTCCTGGGTGGCACCGCTTTTGCTCCTGGGGTTACAGAAGCAGTCGGTGCTGAGGAGGGAGCTGGCTTCTTGCCGCTCCTGTGCTGCAGTAGCCTGGCTGAAGGCGGCAGCTGGAGCAGGCTTCACATGCAGAGATGGTTTCTTTCTTGCTCTTTATCCAAGTAAAGGTTGGATTAGTGTGAGGGGCTAGAAGGGTCTCCATGGGCAGACGCCTGGCAGTGGCTGAGATCAGCTTCTGCGTGGCTATGCCCACTGGCTTTAAAGAGCACCAACAGCAAAGCCTTTAACGTGCATGAGAAGAGACATATATTGAATTCCTGGCCCCACTGTGCCCCCTTTCTCCCCAGCAGCCGTGTTGTTTTTCATTCCTGGGGTGCATGTGAAGCCCTGCAGGCAGCGTGGCGAGGGCTGCCCGCCGGGCACCACACAGGGCTGGAGTAGGACGGAGGGTGCTTGATACCCGCACGACCTGATGGGTTCAGCATTGGCTCTCCAGGCACAGCGGAGCTGAGCCTGGCACTGAGCTGGGGCCCTTCTGGGAACGTGCAGAGGGGGCTCCGGTGTGGGATTTGCTTTGCAGAAGAGGTTTATAGGAACATGTTACACTACTGTCAGTCCTGTTGCATGAGGCTGGTGCAACTCTGCCTGGCTGAACTCTGCCAAACAGCTCGGGGAGGATGGGAGAGATCTGTGTGGCTCAGGCTCCTGTCCTCTTTCTGGAAACCTCCTCCCTTCCCCGCAGCTCCCCACAGGTCAGTTAATTTTGAGGCCGCAGCTCGTCTGTCCTGTCAGGGATTCATACTATTTTTTTCTTCTCGTGGTTTGATTTCTTGGAAGGATGTTCATGAGATCGAAATAAAAACCTGACAACATTGTTGTGTTGGTGCCTGCTGCGGGTGGCCCCCCCAGCTGCAGCCCCCTTCTCCCCGCCATGAAAAGGGAAGCCCCGAAGCTCTGCCCAGGCTGTGCCTGCCCTCCCCGAGGTGGAGGATTCACGCTGGGAACCCACTTTGTACCTTCCCCTGAGCAGCAGCGCTTTTCCGAGATGATGTGACTGTATTAAGAAAATTAAGTGGAGAGCAGCCCAGCCTTGGCTCTGGCTGTGCTCCTTGCGGTAATTGGCTCTCTGGGGTATTGAATGCCGTCGGTACACTGCATGCGGCCGTGCTGGCATAAATAAAAAGGGGGGAAGTGATCCCCCTGTCTATCTCTTTTCCCCAAAGGCTTTTTCCTTTTAAAACCCCTTTGCCTACAAATGCAGCTAATAAAGCCAAGTTACGGCGTGTAACCCTGGGCTGCACGCAGGTGGGAGCAGGGAGGATGGTCTGTAGAAATGGAGCACTGGGGGCAGCTGGAGTATCCCCTGCATCTCCCCAGGGCTCGCATGTGGACCCCCACGTTCCCAGGAGCTGGTGTCGAGCCCAGGCCTGGTGGGGATGTGTCACCCCCACTGAACATCCCTGGGGTTTTTGGTGGACAGTCCCACCTGCAGACCCAGGGATGGGCAGTGGGTGATGCCCATGACCAGAGCAGACAGCGGCTGCGCTTGCAGCATGGGTGGGACGGGGAGAGAGACCCAGGGCTTGGTGAGGCCGCTCCTGCTTGTCCCCTCTGGCTCCTGGGGCAACCTGAGCCCATCCATAGCTTTGCCACAGGAGAAAGGAGCCCCCGACCTTGTTGCATGGGGTTGAGAGACGGAGGGTGCTCGGGGAGAGGAAACGGCTTTGGCCTTATCAGGGGGGCCCCCCTCTGCGGGAGGCGGCTGCTTTCTGTGCCTGAATTAATCATGTTCTGCAACCTTTCAGGAAGGAGAGACGCAGCCGGCTTTGATGGGGCTAATTAAAGGGAGCCAGCGCTGGGAGAGGCTGCGTCGGGTCCTGATAAACAATCTTTTGTCTGCAGCGCTCAACTCCAGCGGGTGCACGGTGCTGTGCAGCTGGGGGAGCAGGTGGGAGAGGAGAGGGGTTTCAAAGAGGGCGAGTGCCCGGCATGGAGCCGTGCCCGCTGCAGGCCCATGCCTGACCCTCGAGGCTCTCGGGGCTGTGCTGTCTGCTCTCGGGAGAAGGGGTAAAAGGAGGCAAGGACCCTCCTCTGGCAGCCGGACACAGACCCCATTCCCCAAGCACGGTTGGGGGGCAGCCGCCCCTGCTGTGGGCTCATACCACGCCGAGCATGGCGGCTGCAAGGGCCAGGTCTCCCACCAGCAAGAGGGACAGTCCAGGCCCCCCGCCACGTGTCACCGGCATGGCTGCTGCTAACCTAAGCGACGGAAAGCATTAACATGCAAGGGAGCACAGTGAGCAACACACCTCAAGTTAATTTTATGGGGAGGCCGTGAAGAGCGGCTGGGGCTGGTGTGTGAGGTCTTGGCACAGGCACAGCCCTCCCTCCTCCCACAGCACCAGCGAGGTGCTTCCATGTCATGTTTGAAGAAAGACGCTGGATTATTGGTAATGGCTTGAGATCCCCAGAGAGTCCTTCAGGCCATCTGCCAGCCTGCCCAGCCCAGCAGCACCTGCCCCGCACGCTCCCAAAGGCAGAGCCCCCGATGCTGCTAATTACCCTGCAGACGATGCTCAGTCCCCGGGATCCCATGTACTGGGAACGCAAGTGTATTGCACCAACAGGAAAACAAAGCAGCCCCTGTTCTACGGGACTGGGAAAGGCATGCCGGGCCATTCCCTCTTTGCTCACCCCTGGCACAAGCGGAGACCTCTGTGCTGAGCAGGGGGATGAGGACACGCTGCCTGCCCTTGCACCATATAGTCCATGGCCCGGTGCAGTGGCATTGCCAGAAGGAAGCCAACCTCGTGCCCTGCCCGGCACCTCTCGCTGTAGCTGTGCTGCCCATCCCTGTGGCGTCGGGGCAACCTGCCCGGGGTGCGGCTGTGCAAAGCTTGAGGCAGCTGCTGTTGTCCCCAGCTTTGCAGCAAGGCAGCAAGGCCTGGGTGGGCATCTGCTGCCTGCCATGCTGCCCTCGGTGCCCCCCATTCAGCAGGACCCTTGCCCTCACCACTGGGCACGGTGCCGCCTGCTCCTCCCCAGTGCCCGTCCCGCACCTCCCCGCTGCCTCCAGTAAAACTGCCTCCGGCAAAACCGGCTTCTCCCGTGGAAACTGAAGGGGATCCAGAAATGGCACATAGGGGTGAAAAGCTCTCCCATCGGGCTGGTTTCACTGCACCTCCAGGAGATGGGGTGGGGGAACTTTTTTCTGGGGTATCTCAAAGCTGCCTCCAACCCACCCAGCAGCACCTAATTCCATAGGTGGGTGAAGCCCCCAGACCCTCCTGTGCTGAGTGGCCAGTGACCCTCATCCCACCCGGGCTGTGTGGTGTCAGCCCCCCTTTTCCAGCCAGATTTTTCTCACCACCCTGGAATATTTTTGATTGCTTCCTAAATACACCCCTGCATATTAACCATCGCAGGTCAGCGCCTCAAGCTGGCTGTGCTGCTCTTCCCCAACACCTGCTGGGAACGATGAAGGGATAGCCAGGCTGATGCAGGGAGGAACCATGGGCCAGCCGGCTGCAGCATGGAGCAGAGTGGCTCCAGGGCTGCCAGCAGCTCCACGTGCCCCCGCTGCAGCCACCTTCTACCTCAGCCCGGGAGTCTCTGTACAAAAACATTTCCCAGCCCTGAAGCTCTTGATGGGGGAGCTTCTTTAATGGCACTCCTTCCTTGCTGCACTTCGTTCACTTTAAATGTATTTATCTCAATTGAGAGGCTTTCCCCCAGTCCTGCAGGTCCTCAAGGGACAGACCAGCAATGCACTGACAAAACAACGATGGCCCCTTCGCATAGAATCTCTTGAGCAGCTTTATGCCCTAACCCACAGGAATATTTCTCACACCCACATAAAGCAGGTGCCTAGCAGATGTAACCTCCAACCAGGCTCAGCCTTTCATCCTAGAGAGACCTCTTCCACGTTATTTAAAATGACAAAAATTGATGAGGATGATTTCTCCCTCTAATGGGTTTATTTTCTAATCCAGGCTCGCAGGAGCAGCGCTGAGAGTTGCGGGAGGGACTTCTGCCTTTCCCAGGGGAGTCTCCTTGCGAACACCCAGGGCTCCCCCAGCAGACCCTGCACAAGAGCCTTCCTCTCCTTCCTCCCCTTCCTCCTGCGGTGTGTCCCCCCTGCCCCAGGATCAGCCCCTCCGTGACAGCCATGATAGCATTTACTCTCCCTGCCCTGCTTGGGCCCTTCATTTGACCCTGCAGGCTCTGCTCGCAGCCGTTCACCCCAGGGATGTGGGGAGAGGCGATGCCTGTTTGGGGAACAGTGGAGCACAGCCGCCCATTTTGCCCCAAGCATGGTTTAATCCCAGGGAAAGGTGCCAGAGCTGCGGGCATGAGGCCATCTGCCGGGACCCTAAAATAAATATGGAGTGTGGATGGGTGACGTGGTGATGGAGAGAGGGATGTGTGGCCCTTTGCAGCAACAGGATGAACCGGCTGCAAAGCGCTAGAAATGAAAACATAGGGCAGAGGATGCTGTGCCCAGCATCCGAGGGGGACACTGGAAGCCCTGAAACAAAACCTGACCCAGGCAATCACACTGCGTGTAAAAATGACTTTTATCTTGTGTCAGGCTGTCTGGCGAGATTTGTCTCTGCCTGGAAACATTTGAAGCGAGTAATTTATGGGATGGATTAAAACCTGGTGGCAGTTCATGACAAGCATCACCTTTTGTGGGTCTGCATTTTCCTATGGGATAATTATTTCCCTTTCTCAGCATCCTGCTCATACCGATTTTTCTTTCCACAGAACATTGTGCTTTAATGATGCTTCATGTTTAATTCCCGAGATGCAATTTTACCTTCACGCCGCAGACAATGGCCCTTGCAATGAGCACAAAGGCTCGCATGCGGGCACCCCGGCGGGCAGAGCTGCCTGTCTAACATGGGAACAGAAGAACCACATCATTTCGAGGCGTTGGGAATTGTCCTCTCTCCTCCAGACAGAGCACCATGATTTTTGAGGAGGCCATTCTGGGGTTGCTGGTGGGAGTGGGATGCTCAGCACGGTGTGGGCGTCTGTCCGGCCTTCATCCCGCTCTCCGGAGTGGGGCTGGTGGGGTGCAAGGGCTGGGGGGCAGCGGGGGGCTGGACCCCGCTGCACGGCCGGTGGTCACGCTCGCTGTCTCCTTCTCTTCTGCCCAGAGCGGTGCAAGCGCCAACTCTACACCACAGAGTTTTACAAGAAACTATTGCTAAAAAAGGTCACTGATGGCAGAAAATGAGAAACTCCATCCCAAAGAGGAGCAGCCGGCCCCAGGCCCTGGCTGCCGGGAAGGAGCCGGCTGCGGCGGGGAGCTCGGTCTTGTGTCCAGCCGAGGCTGCGTCCAGCCACGACACGGAAATCCCACGGGCGTCTCGAAGGTGCCATTGCCCCGATGCTGGCGGGCAGGACCCCATCCAGGAAGGTGCCGGGGAGGCGAGCAGGGCGTCCGAAGGCTGTGCTGCCGTGATGCTGGTGGTGGGGAACAGCCCGAACAGAAGCCGTGCAGTCCGGCGGGGCATCCCAAAGCCGCATCGCTCCGGTGCTGGCAGACGGACCCCCATCCGTGAAGCGTCCGGGAAGGTGAGGCAGGTGGCCGAAGGCTGCCGGGCGAAGCTTCCTCGGACGGCATCGGTGTCGGGGCGCGGCGAGGGGACCTCCGCTTCTGCCGACGGCGTGGGGTCCCCAGGGCAGCCCGGGGTCCCCGGGACGTGCGGGGCTAGGAGCCCGGCCCCTCGGGGGGCTGGGACGGGGGGCTGAGCTGGTTCTCCAGCAGCGCCCGCGTCCCCTCGGCCGACACCCTCCGCATCCTCAGGCGTACCGAGCCGTAGGTACCACCGGTGCGGCGGGCGGCCCGGGCGCGGCGACGGGCGGCG